GGTGGTCTCTTACCGAAATTAAAATTGTTTTTAACAGTATTGACATCATTAGTGTTTCTGTTACTGTTAAAAAGATTTGATTTTAGATTAGAAGGATGTGAGATAACCGGTGTTTTGATAATAGGTCTATCCATGAGAAATCGGAGCGATTGAAAATGCCGGAGGAGTCGCCGCTGCCGAGTGGTGGGAGCATTTGGGCTCGCAAGTCTTTTGCTGATGTCGTTGCAGATAGCACCAAAGCATTGATGCCAGAAAAATCCAGGTTTAAAGGCATGCCTTCGATCTCCTTTTCGGATGGAGATAGTCGGAATCTTGAAGATAAGCATAAAAAGGCTTTGGTTGGATATTTTTTCAAAGGTAAACCAAGTTTGTTGATCATCCGCAAATCCTTTGAAATTATTGGGTTTAAAGGTCCTTTTCAATTGGGGGTTCTGGATCCAAAACATGTTTTAATTCGATTTGAAAAGGAAGAAGATTATATTTGGTGTTGGACTAGGCAGAACTGGGTAATTCAAGGTCATGTGATGAGGGTTACAAAATGGACTCCGGAATTCCAGCCTAATGTGGAATCACCGGTTGTGCCTGTGTGGATTGCTTTTGAGGGGCTTCCAATACATCTTCAAGATAAATCTGCCCTCTTTGAGATTGCCTCTTTGATAGGGAAACCTCTCAAGCTTGATGAGGCTACATCCACTCTCTCAAGGCGTGCTGTAGCTAGAGTTTATGTTGAAGTTGACCTCACTCAGGAGAAGCCTTCAAAGGTGTGGATTAATTGTGGAAAATTGGGGTTTCCCCAGCCTGTTACTTATGAAAACAGGCCTGAATATTGTTCTGATTGTCTTCATTTAGGCCACTCTCACTCCAAGTGTCCCAAACGACAGCCAAAATAGTATAATGCTATTACAGTTCATAAAGAACAATGGGTTCCGAGAAAGGAGGCAACCAACTCTGGGAAATTTACAAGGGAAGAGAAATGTAAGGACAAAGTTATTCAACAGCCTGATTTTAATACACAATCAACATCCAAGGGCGGTCAAACAGACAAAGTTTCTGATTCCATAACAACTGTTATTACAGAGGTCTGTAATGATGAGCAACCTGATATGAGTCCAGGTAAAGCTGAGCAAGGTCTTGAGGAGTTTCTTTCTGATAGTGATACTGAAGTTGAGGAAGTTTTCACCGAAGATCAGTCTGCGCCAAAAGAGAAAACCATTAAGGAAATCCAGTCTTTAATAGCTACAGAATTTCCTTGTCTTCAAAGATTAGGCCCTAGGGAGATTACAAGAATTCAAGATGACATTATTGAGGGGTTGCTACATACTAGATCTTATATTATTGCTAGAGATTGCTACTCGGATGGAGAGGAGAACCAACATGGGGATGTGGAAGCCCTGGGGGCAGGCTGGGAGAAAATTAGTCAAGGGGTGGAGACCATTATTAAGCTTAGCTCACCAGGAATGCATCTAAGGGGAACTCAATTGTTTCCCAATGAATTGTTTATTTTGGAATACTAGGGGTCTAGAATCCTCTAGTTCTAGACTCAGTTCCCTAGTCAATCAATGGAGGCTTCATTTAATTGTTGTTATTGAGCCAATTGTGGCAAATAATAAGATTGATGCTTATAAGGACATTTTGGGTTTTGATAAAGCCATTAATTCACCAGTATAAAAATATGGATTTTCTGGGACTCTTCTAAATTGGAGACTTCTGATTTTTTCTGGCATGAACAGTTTGTACACTTTAAGGTTACTAGTACAGTGTTCTACTAACACTTTAACTACTCCAAAGGCTTTCAGGTTCCAAAATATGTGGTTGTCCCACTACACGTTTATGGATGTTGTTAAAAGATCTTGGACCTCTACTCATATAGGTGGAGGCATGAAAGGGTTGATGCTTAAATTACAACAGCTTAAAAAAGATCTTAGGAGCTGGAATTTATCTACTTTTGGTAACATTTTTGAAGACCTCAAGTGTTGTGAAAATGATGTTCTTAATAATGAGAAGGCCTTTGAAGACAATCCCTCCCCTGAAAATAAAGACAAATGGTTCCAATCTAGAGCTTTGTTGCTTTCAAAGTACAAACTTGAGAGAAAATTCTGGAAGCAAAAAGCTAAGATTAAGTGGATCAAAGAAGGAGATGCTAATACTCAGTTTTTCCATTCCTTTGTTAAAATTAGGAACAAAATGCAAAGCATTACCTCTATTCAGAACTCTGCAGGCAACATGGTATCCTCTTTCCCTGAGATTGGTGATGCTGCTGTACATTTTTTCCAAGATATTTATTCTATGGATGAGGAAATTGACTCTTCTCAAATCCTGCAATTCATTCCAAACATATTAACAGAAGGTGATAATGTGAATCTTGTTAAACTTCCTGAAGCAGAGGATGTAACACCGTCCCTAAATGTATTTACTTTTAAAGTGAATATTGTATTTTAACCTTATGAAATGGTTGACGAATTTACGAGGTTATGAAATTTTATTAATTTTTGCGTGAATAGTAAGTTCGCACGTGGGGCCCGCACCGGGAGCGGGGGCCGCCCGATATTCCCGGGACCACATAAATTATTCATCTTGGTCTAGATAATATTTATATGGTGGTGGATAATTCATTTGAACCATGGAAAGGTCTTGAGTTGACCGATTGGTCAAAAGAGGCCCAAGTACCGGTATTGGCAATTTAACCGATAAAAGCACAAAATTTAATTTCGGGGACTTATAAATTCAAATTGGGGAATGAATATTCATTATAAGGGTTATAATGATGGAGAACACATAATATATTTTATTTGACCCGATAAAATGAAATATATTTAAAACAGTCCGAAAAATACAACTTTCGGGACAAAGTGTACACTTCTGGACAAAAGGGGTTGACCTCCCACATGGGTGGGGGCCAACCCACGAAATTAGACACATTTTTTCATGCCTTGGCCGGCTGGGTGGTGGAAGGGGCATGGGTGATGTGTGTGAAGTGAAAGAAGAAGCATCAAACAAAAAAAAGGGGGACCACATCCACCCCATTTGATCTTTGAGACAAAAGATCATCCCCTCACCTCTCTCTCCCTCATTTCTCTCGGCCAGAACCAACCCCAGCAAGAAAAGAAAATCCCCATCCTCCCTTTTCCCATCCTTGAAGAGAGCTCAAGCAATAGAAGTCCAAGGGGAAAGATTAAAAGGAGAAAAAGCTAGGAAAAGTGAGAAAGATTAAGGTAATAACCTTATATTAACTTTTCCTTTATTTTTCTTCTATCATATGTGATATATATCATATGAAGGACCTTGAGGTTGTTCTACATAATTAAAGTGTGGAATAATAGGTTGGAGAGTGGTTCTAAGTCCAAAAACGGACTTAGGAACCAAACCGACAAGTTCACCGGAAAATAACCTTTTAAAGGTTATTTGTTTTGATTAAGGTTTTATGATGTTAAAACCTTGTTAGGAACTTGATTAGAGCATTTTCGAGCTTCGCCGGAGTTTCGCCGGAGTTGGTCAAAGTTCGCCGGAGTTGGTCAAAGTTCACCGGAATTAGTCAAAGTTCAACCGGGAAGCGTCGAACGCGCTTAAGCTCACTTAAGGTGAGGATGACCGACTATATTGCTTATAATTATTGGGTTAATTTCATAAGATTACCTAAATGAATTATATGTGTTTGGCATGATTTATTTATAATAAAAAAAATGCCTAAATGAGATTATTATTGTTTATAAGTAAAAATGCATAATATACAAATTTATGAACAAATTGTGTATGATTGTGTGTTATGAATACAATGACATAATAGTTGTGTAAACTATAAACTAAATTGTGATAAATATACTTTTACCTCATGTAAGAAGGTCATGGAAGGATAAAAGTGATATTTTGATATTAGAGCCAAGTTATACTTGAATGAGGAATTTAATTGAAATATTCAAATTGTTATGAACTCAAGTTACATTTGGAGTAAGCCTTAGGGGTTACTCAAAATGGATGGAACCTAGACTAGGAAGTGGTTTAGGGATTAGTTGACGTGACTATGAGCCGAGCTCTAGCACGTGGTAGGGTGACTATGAGCCGAGCTCTAGCACAAATTAGTATGACTATGAGCCGAGCTCTAGCAAGCGTAGGGTGACTATGAGCCGAGCTCTAGCACAAATTAGTATGACTATGAGCCGAGCTCTAGCAAACGTAGGGTGACTATGAGCCGAGCTCTAGCACAAATTGATATGACTATGAGCCGAGCTCTAGCATGGAGGACATGAGTTAATTATAAATGAATAACATCTTAGATTGAGGGTCTTGGAAATTGAAACTTTGATTATACTTAGTATAGTTGTCATTGTACTTGTCAAATGCTTCCAAGTACTGACCTCCCCTTCACGGGGGAGGCCACCTCACAGTTTCAGGTAGAACTTGAAGGTTGCTACCATCGCCGTTGCTCCAAGAGAATTCAGGAGAAGAAGACGTGGTTCGTGCTTCCTCCGTTCCTGTTTTAAAATCATTTAAATTAATGCTCATGGATGTTATCTTTTGAATAATTATTTGATGGCTTGTATGCCCATGTTTCGCCAAGTGTGGCATGAAGTCTTGAACACTTGTATCAAACGTTTCCGCTGCTTTGAATGAATATTTTACATTATGTTTGTTTATGGATGTACTATGTGTGAATGATATCCCAGACGCCTTGTATAGTATGAATGTGTTGGACTGCGGTTGACTATTCGTACTGTACGGCGGATTGTTGACGTGTCCGGATAGGCCCGGGGCGTGACAATTTAATTGGTATCAGAGCCAGGTTCCGTAAACTTCATAATGAAGCTTCAAAATTCCTTTTGAAAAAGAAATTGAAAACCATGAGCATAAAGTTTTGTACTTATAGAACTTTTGGTACTTGAGTTGCAAAGTCTCTAATTGTTAAGATGGTACCCTTAACAATTGGCATGGCGGTGATTTGAGCCAAAAGATGTCCTTAAGTACCTATCCGTCACTTGACATTTGATACGAGTCTAACGGTCCATTCTAAACTTCTTTCAGAAATGGAGCCAATTGGAAGGATCACTAGGAGGAACCCGACGGGCCGTGTACCGGGTGGGTCCGAACGCGGCAGCCGGGGGTCCACTAGGGTGTCCAGGGGAAGGGGCCGTGGAGGCCAACAACAAACCGTGAGCGATGGCCACGTGGACACCGAGAGTGAGACTTATTGGTCCTATGAGGACTCAACCTATAGGCCGGAAACCGAGCCGGTGGAAACCCCATATGATGGGGAAGATGACGATGTGAGTGAAGAGAGTGAAGACGATGGCACTCTTGGGAGGATCGAGGCGCTGCTCCAATAACAATACCACCGGGAGCGCGAAGAGAGGAGACAACGCCGAAGGCGCCGAACGGGGCAACCTTCGGGCATGGCTTCGAGAGGAGGAAGCCAAGGTGCTTCTAGAGTCCATGTTGAACCACATGGAGGCCAAGATGTGGGAGGTCCAACCATAAGGATCTCCAAATTTATCAAAGAAGCACGAGATTTGGGATGTAAACCGTTTGATGGAACGGGAGACATCTCCGTTGCAGCCGAATGGATCAAAAGATTCAACGAGGCAGCCCTTGACATGCAGCTGCCACCCATCATGAAATTGAGGGTGGCAACAAGATTGCTCGAAGGCATGGCGTCCACGTGGTGGGACGGGGTCAAAGGAAAATACGGCGAAGCCGTCACATGGGAGAACTTTCGGCAGGAGTTCTTCAACCAATACTACTCCGACTTCGAGGTAAACATGAAGAGGAGGGAGTATACGAACTTGACACAGGGAGGCGCATGTACGGTGAAGGAACTTGAACACAAGTTCAAAAAGCTTGCCGAATTCATACCGGAGTACATATGTGATGAGAACCGGATGGTGAACCACTTCTGGGATGCCTTAGACCTTGACATACGCGAGAGGGCAACACAATTGCCTAATATGACGTTTAGTCAAGTGGTTGAACAGGGCCTGAAGGGAGAGAAGGAGTGGGAGGAAAGAAAGCGGAGGAACGCCGAGGAGGCGAAGAAGAGGAAGTGGGAAAGCCATGGCCCACAAGGTTCTAACAAAAAGGGGAACCACGGGGGAGGAGGATCGTTCAGGGCACCGGCGCCGCCATCCAAGGGAAACTCGGCTTTCGGCGGGCACAACTCGGGCTCACAAGCCTCGACAGCGCCCAGGTGCCGAAATTGCAACAGGAGCCACGCCGGTAAGTGTCGTGACCCTCCTCGGTGCTACCAATGTGGAGACACGGGGCATCTTAAACCAAATTGCCCTCAACTTGGTGGAAACCGAGGGGCGGGATCAAGCGGCGCTACTACGGCAAGTAGGAGTCGAACCGGAGCACCCCATGCTAGTACGGGGCAGGGGGGAGCGAGCGCCAGCAACGCGCCGTCCGTGAATCAAGGAAGGACGCAAGCTAGAGTCTACGCAATGACCGAGGCCGATGCTCGGGCCAATCCCGACTCCGTTGCAGGTAATACACGTATTCCCATGTATTTCTAGGCTTGCATTGATCATATACGTCGTAGGGATTGAGTGCGGGCCACCCCGGGGTCAAAACTGGGCAAGTTAGGCCAAATCAGCTGGAAACAGCCACTGCCGGCCAGGCACGCTCGCAGGCACGCCGTGCCTGGCATCGTGCCTGGAAGGCAGTGGCAACCGGAAGATTTTTTTGGCCAGGCACGGTCGCAGACACGCCGTGCCTTGCACCGTGTCTGGAAGGCAGTGGCAACCGGAAGATTTTTTGGCCAGGCACGGTCGCAGACACGCCGTGCCTGGCACCGTGTCTGGAAGGCAGTGGCACCCGAAGAAAAGAAAAAAAAAAAAAAAATTGGGCCAGGCACGGCCGCAGGCACGCCGTGCCTGGCGTCGTGCCTGGAAGGCAGTAGCGTCCGAAGTATTTTTTGGCCAGGCACGGCCGTAGGCACGCCGTGCCTGGCATCGTGCCTGGCCGGCAGTGGCACGCAGAGTTAGTTCGTTGCACGCACGGTCGTGCGTGCCACCCAGGCACGCCGTGCGTGGACCCCCAACCCCCGAAAATTGATTTTTTCACCCCGTTCTTCTACGTTTGGACCCCCGTTTGATTCCAAACCTTAGTATTGACTTAATAACCTCCTAAAGATGTGTAAAAACATTAGAAAATGTATCTTACATGGTGTATAAATGTAGGAACATTAAAGATCAATGGTAGGTGTGCGAGGATCCTCATCGATACCGGGGCACAACGCTCATTTGTGAGTGAGGCGTTCGCCGAGGGACTTGACGTGCCATTGACACCTATGACGCAAACGTTGCTAGTCTCCACACCGTTAGGGGACGATGTGGAGAGAAATCATTACTATCCATCATGTGAGGTGGAAGTGACGGGTCAACCCTTGACTTGTGATTTCGTACCTCTAAGCATGTTGGAGTTCGATGCAATCCTAGGAATGGATTGGCTTGAGAAGCACCATGCTCGAGTAGATTGCTACACCAAGGTGTTGGAGCTCGAGGATGAGCAAGGAAACACACTATGTTTCGAAGGAGATCGGGGGAAATCAAATGCTTGCATCATATCCGTGATGAGAGCACGGAAGATGATGAGAAAAGGGTGCCACGCATACCTTGCTTACGTGGTAGATGATACGAAGAAAGAAGTCGACATCAAGGATGTTCGAGTCGTGTGCAAGTACCCGGACGTCTTTCCCAAGGACCTACCGGGGCTTCCACCCGATAGAGAGATTGAATTTGTAATCGAAGTGGAGCCGGGAACCAAACCCATTTCGATTCCTCCTTATCGAATGGCACCGGCCGAACTTCAAGAGTTGAAGGTCCAACTACAAGAACTATTGGACAACGGGTTCATCAGACCCAGTCATTCACCGTGGGGAGCACCCGTACTATTCGTAAAGAAGAAAGATGGTACACTAAGAATGTGTATTGACTACCGACAGTTGAACAAGGTCACCATCAAGAACAGGTATCCCTTACCGAGGATTGATGACTTGTTCGACCAACTTCGAGGGGCAATAGTGTTCTCGAAGATTGACTTGAGGTCGGGGTATCATCAGTTGAAGATCAAGGAGAGTGACATACCTAAGAGTGCATTTCGCACTAGATATGGTCATTACGAATTCCTTGTGATGTCGTTTGGTTTAACCAACGCACCGGCGGCATTCATGGACTTGATGAACCGTGTGTTTAGTGAATACTTAGATCAATTCGTGATAGTATTCATTGACGACATCTTGATATACTCCAAGAGCGAGGAGGAGCACGAACACCATTTGAGGCTTGTACTTGATCGGTTAAGGGAAAAGCAACTCTTTGCCAAGTTCTCAAAATGCGAATTTTGGCTCAAAGAGATCGGTTTCCTCGGTCATGTCATATCCGGTTCGGGCGTTGCCGTGGACAACGCCAAGATTAAAGCTATTATGGATTGGGAGAGACCCAAGAATGTGAAAGAGATACGTAGTTTCCTTGGCTTAGCGGGATACTATCGTAAATTTGTGGAAAAATTCTCCGTATTGGCGTCTCCATTAACGAAGCTCACAAAGAAAGGGGCCAAGTTCATATGGGACGACAAGTGTGAGAAAGGGTTCCTTGAACTGAAGAAACGACTTACCGAAGCACCAGTACTAGCCCTACCTATACAAGGGATAGGGTATGATATCTACAGTGATGCTAGCATCCAAGGGCTTGGATGTGTACTGATGCAAAACGGTCGGGTGATTGCCTATGCTTCTAGGCAATTGAAGAAACACGAGGCGAACTACCCTACCCACGATCTAGAGTTGGGGGCGGTAGTGTTTGCACTAAAGATTTGGAGGCATTACCTCTATGGGGAGACATGTCACATTTTTACCGATCATAAGAGCTTGAAGTACGTATTCACTCAGAAAGAGTTGAACATGAGACAAAGGAGATGGATGGAGTTGATCAAGGATTATGACTTGATCATCGACTATCATCCCGGAAAAGCCAATGTAGTGGCCGATGCACTGAGCAGGAAAAGTACGTCGGGGACATTACTCACATGTCTAAGAACTTTGAGGGCACAAGTGGAGATGTCCACGAGTGGGGTCCTCATTGCTAGATTCGAGGTTAGGCCCACATTGCTGAGTGAGATCAGTAGATGTCAGGCCACTGATGATGAATGCCAGAAGATCCGTGAGAGGATCCTCGAAGGGCCCGTGGAGAACTTTCGGGTACGTGATGACGGTCTTTTATTGTTTAAAGACCGTGTGTGCATACCAAAGAGTGAAGAGCTCCAAAAGTCTATCCTAGAGGAGGCTCACTCTTCGGCATATGCTATGCATCCAGGAGGTACTAAAATGTACCGAGACTTGAAGGAAAGTTACTGGTGGTCGGGTATGAAGAGGGATATCGCAGAGTACGTGAGTCGATGCCTTTCTTGCCAACAAGTTAAGGCAGAGCATCAGCACCCGGCGGGGCTTTTGCAGCCACTAACCATTCCAGAATGGAAGTGGGAGCACGTGACCATGGACTTCGTGGTGGGGCTACCACGAACAGTGAACAACTATGATGCAGTATGGGTGGTGGTTGATAGGCTCACCAAGAGTGCACACTTTTTGCCTATCAACATTACTCATCCTCTTGAGAGATTGGCAAAGCTATACACGGAGGAGATTGTGAGACTACATGGAGTCCCGATATCCATTGTCTCGGATAGGGATCCACGATTCACATCTCGATTTTGGCCCAAGTTTCAAGCATCTTTGGGTACTAAACTGAAGTTTAGCACAGCTTTTCATCCACAGACGGATGGGCAATCCGAGAGGGTGATACAGATTTTAGAAGATATGCTTAGGGCATGTGCTTTGGAGTTCCAGGGGAGTTGGGACAAACATTTGGCTCTAGTAGAGTTCGCCTATAACAATAGTTATCAGGCGAGTATTGGCATGCCTCCATATGAGGCATTGTATGGGAGGAAATGCAGGACACCGTTGTGTTGGGACGAGGTTGGCGAGGCCAAGCTCGAAGGGATTGAACTTGTTGAAATCACCAAGGCTAAGGTGAAAGTCATTCAGGATAGACTCAAGGCTGCCCAAGATCGGCAGAAGAGTTATGCCGACAAACGACGAAGGCCATTGGAGTTCGAGGTCGGTGATAAGGTCTTCCTAAGAATTTCTCCTTGGAAGGGTATCATCCGATTTATATCGAGGGGAAAACTCAACCCCCGATACATTGGCCCATTTGAAATTCTTGAAAGGATAGGGGTCGTGGCATACCGTCTGAAGTTGACGCCAGAACTTGAGAAGATACACGACGTGTTTCACGTATCGATGCTCAAGAAATACGTGAGAGATCCGTCTCATATTCTTGAGAAGCCACCGGTAGAGATACGTAAAGATCTACAATATGCGGTGGAACCAGTAAAGATTGTGGGCCAACAGGTGAAGAAACTGAGGAACAAAGAGATTCCTATGGTAAAGGTTCTTTGGAGGAGTGATCGAGTCGAAGAAGAAACCTGGGAGACCGAGGTCTCAATGAGGGAGCAATACCCATTTCTTTTCGATTAGACACGTGGATTTCGGGGACGAAATCCCAAATAAGGGGGGGTGAACTTGTAACACCGTCCCTAAATGTATTTACTTTTAAAGTGAATATTGTATTTTAACCTTATGAAATGGTTGACGAATTTACGAGGTTATGAAATTTTATTAATTTTTGCGTGAATAGTAAGTTCGCACGTGGGGCCCGCACCGGGAGCGGGGGCCGCCCAATATTCCCGGGACCACATAAATTATTCATCTTGGTCTAGATAATATTTATATGGTGGTGGATAATTCATTTGAACCATGGAAAGGTCTTGAGTTGACCGATTGGTCAAAAGAGGCCCAAGTACCGGTATTGGCAATTTAACCGATAAAAGCCCAAAATTTAATTTCGGGGACTTATAAATTAAAATTGGGGAATGAATATTCATTATAAGGGTTATAATGATGGAGAACACATAATATATTTTATTTGACCCGATAAAATGAAATATATTTAAAACAGTCCGAAAAATACAACTTTCGGGACAAAGTGTACACTTCTGGACAAAAGGGGTTGACCTCCCACATGGGTGGGGGCCAACCCACGAAATTAGACACATTTTTTCATGCCTTGGCCGGCTGGGTGGTGGAAGGGGCATGGGTGATGTGTGTGAAGTGAAAGAAGAAGCATCAAACAAAAAAAAAGGGGGGACCACATCCACCCCATTTGATCTTTGAGACAAAAGATCATCCCCTCACCTCTCTCTCCCTCATTTCTCTCGGCCAGAACCAACCCCAGCAAGAAAAGAAAATCCCCATCCTCCCTTTTCCCATCCTTGAAGAGAGCTCAAGCAATAGATGTCCAAGGGGAAAGATTAAAAGGAGAAAAAGCTAGGAAAAGTGAGAAAGATTAAGGTAATAACCTTATATTAACTTTTCCTTTATTTTTCTTCTATCATATGTGATATATATCATATGAAGGACCTTGAGGTTGTTCTACATAATTAAAGTGTGGAATAATAGGTTGGAGAGTGGTTCTAAGTCCAAAAACGGACTTAGGAACCAAACCGACAAGTTCACCGGAAAATAACCTTTTAAAGGTTATTTGTTTTGATTAAGGTTTTATGATGTTAAAACCTTGTTAGGAACTTGATTAGAGCATTTTCGAGCTTCGCCGGAGTTTCGCCGGAGTTGGTCAAAGTTCGCCGGAGTTGGTCAAAGTTCACCGGAATTAGTCAAAGTTCAACCGGGAAGCGTCGAACGCGCTTAAGCTCACTTAAGGTGAGGATGACCGGCTATATTGCTTATAATTATTGGGTTAATTTCATAAGATTACCTAAATGAATTATATGTGTTTGGCATGATTTATTTATAATAAAAAAAAATGCCTAAATGAGATTATTATTGTTTATAAGTAAAAATGCATAATATACAAATTTATGAACAAATTGTGTATGATTGTGTGTTATGAATACAATGACATAATAGTTGTGTAAACTATAAACTAAATTGTGATAAATATACTTTTACCTCATGTAAGAAGGTCATGGAAGGATAAAAGTGATATTTTGATATTAGAGCCAAGTTATACTTGAATGAGGAATTTAATTGAAATATTCAAATTGTTATGAACTCAAGTTACATTTGGAGTAAGCCTTAGGGGTTACTCAAAATGGATGGAACCTAGACTAGGAAGTGGTTTAGGGATTAGTTGACGTGACTATGAGCCGAGCTCTAGCACGTGGTAGGGTGACTATGAGCCGAGCTCTAGCACAAATTAGTATGACTATGAGCCGAGCTCTAGCAAGCGTAGGGTGACTATGAGCCGAGCTCTAGCACAAATTAGTATGACTATGAGCCGAGCTCTAGCAAACGTAGGGTGACTATGAGCCGAGCTCTAGCACAAATTGATATGACTATGAGCCGAGCTCTAGCATGGAGGACATGAGTTAATTATAAATGAATAACATCTTAGATTGAGGGTCTTGGAAATTGAAACTTTGATTATACTTAGTATAGTTGTCATTGTACTTGTCAAATGCTTCCAAGTACTGACCTCCCCTTCACGGGGGAGGCCACCTCACAGTTTCAGGTAGAACTTGAAGGTTGCTACCATCGCCGTTGCTCCAAGAGAATTCAGGAGAAGAAGACGTGGTTCGTGCTTCCTCCGTTCCTGTTTTAAAATCATTTAAATTAATGCTCATGGATGTTATCTTTTGAATAATTATTTGATGGCTTGTATGCCCATGTTTCGCCAAGTGTGGCATGAAGTCTTGAACACTTGTATCAAACGTTTCCGCTGCTTTGAATGAATATTTTACATTATGTTTGTTTATGGATGTACTATGTGTGAATGATATCCCAGACGCCTTGTATAGTATGAATGTGTTGGACTGCGGTTGACTATTCGTACTGTACGGCGGATTGTTGACGTGTCCGGATAGGCCCGGGGCGTGACAATTTAATTGGTATCAGAGCCAGGTTCCGTAAACTTCATAATGAAGCTTCAAAATTCCTTTTGAAAAAGAAATTGAAAACCATGAGCATAAAGTTTTGTACTTATAGAACTTTTGGTACTTGAGTTGCAAAGTCTCTAATTGTTAAGATGGTACCCTTAACAATTGGCATGGCGGTGATTTGAGCCAAAAGATGTCCTTAAGTACCTATCCGTCACTTGACATTTGATACGAGTCTAACGGCCCATTCTAAACTTCTTTCAGAAATGGAGCCAATTGGAAGGATCACTAGGAGGAACCCGACGGGCCGTGTACCGGGTGGGTCCGAACGCGGCAGCCGGGGGTCCACTAGGGTGTCCAGGGGAAGGGGCCGTGGAGGCCAACAACAAACCGTGAGCGATGGCCACGTGGACACCGAGAGTGAGACTTATTGGTCCTATGAGGACTCAACCTATAGGCCGGAAACCGAGCCGGTGGAAACCCCATATGATGGGGAAGATGACGATGTGAGTGAAGAGAGTGAAGACGATGGCACTCTTGGGAGGATCGAGGCGCTGCTCCAATAACAATACCACCGGGAGCGCGAAGAGAGGAGACAACGCCGAAGGCGCCGAACGGGGCAACCTTCGGGCATGGCTTCGAGAGGAGGAAGCCAAGGTGCTTCTAGAGTCCATGTTGAACCACATGGAGGCCAAGATGTGGGAGGTCCAACCATAAGGATCTCCAAATTTATCAAAGAAGCACGAGATTTGGGATGTAAACCGTTTGATGGAACGGGAGACATCTCCGTTGCAGCCGAATGGATCAAAAGATTCAACGAGGCAGCCCTTGACATGCAGCTGCCACCCATCATGAAATTGAGGGTGGCAACAAGATTGCTCGAAGGCATGGCGTCCACGTGGTGGGACGGGGTCAAAGGAAAATACGGCGAAGCCGTCACATGGGAGAACTTTCGGCAGGAGTTCTTCAACCAATACTACTCCGACTTCGAGGTAAACATGAAGAGGAGGGAGTATACGAACTTGACACAGGGAGGCGCATGTACGGTGAAGGAACTTGAACACAAGTTCAAAAAGCTTGCCGAATTCATACCGGAGTACATATGTGATGAGAACCGGATGGTGAACCACTTCTGGGATGCCTTAGACCTTGACATACGCGAGAGGGCAACACAATTGCCTAATATGACGTTTAGTCAAGTGGTTGAACAGGGCCTGAAGGGAGAGAAGGAGTGGGAGGAAAGAAAGCGGAGGAACGCCGAGGAGGCGAAGAAGAGGAAGTGGGAAAGCCATGGCCCACAAGGTTCTAACAAAAAGGGGAACCACGGGGGAGGAGGATCGTTCAGGGCACCGGCGCCGCCATCCAAGGGAAACTCGGCTTTCGGCGGGCACAACTCGGGCTCACAAGCCTCGACAGCGCCCAGGTGCCGAAATTGCAACAGGAGCCACGCCGGTAAGTGTCGTGACCCTCCTCGGTGCTACCAATGTGGAGACACGGGGCATCTTAAACCAAATTGCCCTCAACTTGGTGGAAACCGAGGGGCGGGATCAAGCGGCGCTACTACGGCAAGTAGGAGTCGAACCGGAGCACCCCATGCTAGTACGGGGCAGGGGGGAGCGAGCGCCAGCAACGCGCCGTCCGTGAATCAAGGAAGGACGCAAGCTAGAGTCTACGCAATGACCGAGGCCGATGCTCGGGCCAATCCCGACTCCGTTGCAGGTAATACACGTATTCCCATGTATTTCTAGGCTTGCATTGATCATATACGTCGTAGGGATTGAGTGCGGGCCACCCCGGGGTCAAAACCGGGCAAGTTAGGCCAAATCAGCTGGAAACAGCCACTGCCGGCCAGGCACGCTCGCAGGCACGCCGTGCCTGGCATCGTGCCTGGAAGGCAGTGGCAACCGGAAGATTTTTTTGGCCAGGCACAGTCGCAGACACGCCGTGCCTGGCACCGTGTCTGGAAGGCAGTGGCAACCGGAAGATTTTTTGGCCAGGCACGGTCGCAGACACGCCGTGCCTGGCACCGTGTCTGGAAGGCAGTGGCACCCGAAGAAAAGAAAAAAAAAAATTTGGGCCAGGCACGGCCGCAGGCACGCCGTGCCTGGCGTCGTGCCTGGAAGGCAGTAGCGTCCGAAGTATTTTTTGGCCAGGCACGGCCGTAGGCACGCCGTGCCTGGCCGGCAGTGGCACGCAGAGTTAGTTCGTTGCACGCACGGTCGTGCGTGCCACCCAGGCACGCCGTGCGTGGACCCCCAACCCCCGAAAATTGATTTTTTCACCCCGTTCTTCTACGTTTGGACCCCCGTTTGATTCCAAACCTTAGTATTGACTTAATAACCTCCTAAAGATGTGTAAAAACATTAGAAAATGTATCTTACATGGTGTATAAATGTAGGAACATTAAAGATCAATGGTAGGTGTGCGAGGATCCTCATCGATACCGGGGCACAACGCTCATTTGTGAGTGAGGCGTTCGCCGAGGGACTTGACGTGCCATTGACACCTATGACGCAAACGTTGCTAGTCTCCACACCGTTAGGGGACGATGTGGAGAGAAATCATTACTATCCATCATGTGAGGTGGAAGTGACGGGTCAACCCTTGACTTGTGATTTCGTACCTCTAAGCATGTTGGAGTTCGATGCAATCCTAGGAATGGATTGGCTTGAGAAGCACCATGCTCGAGTAGATTGCTACACCAAGGTGTTGGAGCTCGAGGATGAGCAAGGAAACACACTATGTTTCGAAGGAGATCGGGGGAAATCAAATGCTTGCATCATATCCGTGATGAGAGCACGGAAGATGATGAGAAAAGGGTGCCACGCATACCTTGCTTACGTGGTAGATGATACGAAGAAAGAAGTCGACATCAAGGATGTTCGAGTCGTGTGCAAGTACCCGGACGTCTTTCCCAAGGACCTACCGGGGCTTCCACCCGATAGAGAGATTGAATTTGTAATCGAAGTGGAGCCGGGAACCAAACCCATTTCGATTCCTCCTTATCGAATGGCACCGGCCGAACTTCAAGAGTTGAAGGTCCAACTACAAGAACTATTGGACAACGGGTTCATCAGACCCAGTCATTCACCGTGGGGAGCACCCGTACTATTCGTAAAGAAGAAAGATGGTACACTAAGAATGTGTATTGACTACCGACAGTTGAACAAGGTCACCATCAAGAACAGGTATCCCTTACCGAGGATTGATGACTTGTTCGACCAACTTCGAGGGGCAATAGTGTTCTCGAAGATTGACTTGAGGTCGGGGTATCATCAGTTGAAGATCAAGGAGAGTGACATACCTAAGAGTGCATTTCGCACTAGATATGGTCATTACGAATTCCTTGTGATGTCGTTTGGTTTAACCAACGCACCGGCGGCATTCATGGACTTGATGAACCGTGTGTTTAGTGAATACTTAGATCAATTCGTGATAGTATTCATTGACGACATCTTGATATACTCCAAGAGCGAGGAGGAGCACGAACACCATTTGAGGCTTGTACTTGATCGGTTAAGGGAAAAGCAACTCTTTGCCAAGTTCTCAAAATGCGAATTTTGGCTCAAAGAGATCGGTTTCCTCGGTCATGTCATATCCGGTTCGGGCGTTGCCGTGGACAACGCCAAGATTAAAGCTATTATGGATTGGGAGAGACCCAAGAATGTGAAAGAGATACGTAGTTTCCTTGGCTTAGCGGGATACTATCGTAAATTTGTGGAAAAATTCTCCGTATTGGCGTCTCCATTAACGAAGCTCACAAAGAAAGGGGCCAAGTTCATATGGGACGACAAGTGTGAGAAAGGGTTCCTTGAACTGAAGAAACGACTTACCGAAGCACCAGTACTAGCCCTACCTATACAAGGGATAGGGTATGATATCTACAGTGATGCTAGCATCCAAGGGCTTGGATGTGTACTGATGCAAAACGGTCGGGTGATTGCCTATGCTTCTAGGCAATTGAAGAAACACGAGGCGAACTACCCTACCCACGATCTAGAGTTGGGGGCGGTAGTGTTTGCACTAAAGATTTGGAGGCATTACCTCTATGGGGAGACATGTCACATTTTTACCGATCATAAGAGCTTGAAGTACGTATTCACTCAGAAAGAGTTGAACATGAGACAAAGGAGATGGATGGAGTTGATCAAGGATTATGACTTGATCATCGACTATCATCCCGGAAAAGCCAATGTAGTGGCCGATGCACTGAGCAGGAAAAGTACGTCGGGGACATTACTCACATGTCTAAGAACTTTGAGGGCACAAGTGGAGATGTCCACGAGTGGGGTCCTCATTGCTAGATTCGAGGTTAGGCCCACATTGCTGAGTGAGATCAGTAGATGTCAGGCCACTGATGATGAATGCCAGAAGATCCGTGAGAGGATCCTCGAAGGGCCCGTGGAGAACTTTCGGGTACGTGATGACGGTCTTTTATTGTTTAAAGACCGTGTGTGCATACCAAAGAGTGAAGAGCTCCAAAAGTCTATCCTAGAGGAGGCTCACTCTTCGGCATATGCTATGCATCCAGGAGGTACTAAAATGTACCGAGACTTGAAGGAAAGTTACTGGTGGTCGGGTATGAAGAGGGATATCGCAGAGTACGTGAGTCGATGCCTTTCTTGCCAACAAGTTAAGGCAGAGCATCAGCACCCGGCGGGGCTTTTGCAGCCACTAACCATTCCAGAATGGAAGTGGGAGCACGTGACCATGGACTTCGTGGTGGGGCTACCACGAACAGTGAACAACTATGATGCAGTATGGGTGGTGGTTGATAGGCTCACCAAGAGTGCACACTTTTTGCCTATCAACATTACTCATCCTCTTGAGAGATTGGCAAAGCTATACACGGAGGAGATTGTGAGACTACATGGAGTCCCGATATCCATTGTCTCGGATAGGGATCCACGATTCACATCTCGATTTTGGCCCAAGTTTCAAGCATCTTTGGGTACTAAACTGAAGTTTAGCACAGCTTTTCATCCACAGACGGATGGGCAATCCGAGAGGGTGATACAGATTTTAGAAGATATGCTTAGGGCATGTGCTTTGGAGTTCCAGGGGAGTTGGGACAAACATTTGGCTCTAGTAGAGTTCGCCTATAACAATAGTTATCAGGCGAGTATTGGCATGCCTCCATATGAGGCATTGTATGGGAGGAAATGCAGGACACCGTTGTGTTGGGACGAGGTTGGCGAGGCCAAGCTCGAAGGGATTGAACTTGTTGAAATCACCAAGGCTAAGGTGAAAGTCATTCAGGATAGACTCAAGGCTGCCCAAGATCGGCAGAAGAGTTATGCCGACAAACGACGAAGGCCATTGGAGTTCGAGGTCGGTGATAAGGTCTTCCTAAGAATTTCTCCTTGGAAGGGTATCATCCGATTTATATCGAGGGGAAAACTCAACCCCCGATACATTGGCCCATTTGAAATTCTTGAAAGGATAGGGGTCGTGGCATACCGTCTGAAGTTGACGCCAGAACTTGAGAAGATACACGACGTGTTTCACGTATCGATGCTCAAGAAATACGTGAGAGATCCGTCTCATATTCTTGAGAAGCCACCGGTAGAGATACGTAAAGATCTACAATATGCGGTGGAACCAGTAAAGATTGTGGGCCAACAGGTGAAGAAACTGAGGAACAAAGAGATTCCTATGGTAAAGGTTCTTTGGAGGAGTGATCGAGTCGAAGAAGAAACCTGGGAGACCGAGGTCTCAATGAGGGAGCAATACCCATTTCTTTTCGATTAGACACGTGGATTTCGGGGACGAAATCCCAAATAAGGGGGGGTGAACTTGTAACACCGTCCCTAAATGTATTTACTTTTAAAGTGAATATTGTATTTTAACCTTATGAAATGGTTGACGAATTTACGAGGTTATGAAATTTTATTAATTTTTGCGTGAATAGTAAGTTCGCACGTGGGGCCCGCACCGGGAGCGGGGGCCGCCCAATATTCCCGGGACCACATAAATTATTCATCTTGGTCTAGATAATATTTATATGGTGGTGGATAATTCATTTGAACCATGGAAAGGTCTTGAGTTGACCGATTGGTCAAAAGAGGCCCAAGTACCGGTATTGGCAATTTAACCGATAAAAGCCCAAAATTTAATTTCGGGGACTTATAAATTAAAATTGGGGAATGAATATTCATTATAAGGGTTATAATGATGGAGAACACATAATATATTTTATTTGACCCGATAAAATGAAATATATTTAAAACAGTCCGAAAAATACAACTTTCGGGACAAAGTGTACACTTCTGGACAAAAGGGGTTGACCTCCCACATGGGTGGGGGCCAACCCACGAAATTAGACACATTTTTTCATGCCTTGGCCGGCTGGGTGGTGGAAGGGGCATGGGTGATGTGTGTGAAGTGAAAGAAGAAGCATCAAACAAAAAAAAAGGGGGGACCACATCCACCCCATTTGATCTTTGAGACAAAAGATCATCCCCTCACCTCTCTCTCCCTCATTTCTCTCGGCCAGAACCAACCCCAGCAAGAAAAGAAAATCCCCATCCTCCCTTTTCCCATCCTTGAAGAGAGCTCAAGCAATAGATGTCCAAGGGGAAAGATTAAAAGGAGAAAAAAGCTAGGAAAAGTGAGAAAGATTAAGGTAATAACCTTATATTAACTTTTCCTTTATTTTTCTTCTATCATATGTGATATATATCATATGAAGGACCTTGAGGTTGTTCTACATAATTAAAGTGTGGAATAATAGGTTGGAGAGTGGTTCTAAGT